CGCTAATTCTTAAAACGAATTTAATAAAAATTACTATCTCTATATGTACAAAAGCTACTTTTGAAAAATTCCGATTAGCAAAAGTCGCAACGCTATAAATATAACTGAAAGCTAATAAAAATTTAATATAATTTAATTTTCAAAAAAAATGACAAATTTTACTTCGTTCGTGTAACAAATCCTAATATTACTATTTAACAAGAAACAATAATTCATGTAAAAAGGTATAAAAGGCAATCGCGTTCTTATAATTCGCAACGCTAAATCAAACGCGATCATTACTTTATCGCAACTCTAATTCAAACCGAAATTATTTCTTCGCAACTCTAATTAAAGTCGCGAAATCAGCTCTCCTTCGCAACACTAACTCAACCCGTGATCAATTATTCGCAACGCTATTCAGAAAAATCGCGATTTGCCCAAAACAGGATGCTGGACCGATATGTACATCGGTCAGTAAACAAACTACTACTACTACTACTACATACTACTAAATAAGAGCATAGTGACAAATTAATAACAAGAATGATTCCCCATCCTTCGGATGGGAAATCATTCCTAGGCACCCTTCTTGTGACAGTTTGTCGGGTACCTAATAGCCTCTTCTTCTTTCTTCGAGCGCCATGCTCGCTGAAACTTATATCTAGGCTCGAGATTCTCTAATCGGGAAAAAAAAAAAAAATACAAACCGCGAAAGCTAATCGAGACTCACATGGACAAGCAACGATCGGAATGATCGTTGTTCGTGCACACGTGCAGAAACTCGAGCACATACACGTTCGACCACAACCGCGACCGCGACGAAAATTTGAAAAAATCGATAGGTAAAGCTAGTGACGAATGGCAACCCCCAAACGTGCCAGCTTCACCGTCGACTATTCAAATGATATTTCCTGAAACAGGTTGTGCACGCGAAACGCGCCTACCCGATCTAAGACTGTGCCAACCTGCCCGGCCCTACCTACTTATAACTACCAAGCACACCAGAATATACTACCTACCTAACTCCTCCTATATTTAAAAAATGGCAAAAATCAAGCATTCCAACACACCACACTCCACGGTTCTCACACATCACCAGGGCGCAAAGATCCTACACTACAGTAAGCGTCCCGGGACGCCCCCGACACCCGAGTGTAAACATACTACTTGCACACTTTAATTGTACGTACCATTTACTGAAATCGGCTGACGATGGCTAGGGACCTTTGCGTAAAGCGCGAGTATATCAGTTCCCGAAAAAAATTCATAATCGCGGAAGTACGAAAATTGGTAACATTACCGCGTTTATACTATCCGTAATCCGTTGTATTTAATAGCGGATTATGATCTACTATTGCCACTAATATTCACGAATTCTCAAAATTCATAAATATTCGGAAAAGGGAAGGAAACAAATGTACGAACGACGTAATTCCACAACCTATCCACACACACAATGTGGAAAATACGTCGTGCACGATACCCTAACTCATCGTCAGCCGCTAAAAACATTATAATCTTATGAACTATGGTCATCATGCCCATTGCCTTTCTCCCACCCAAGTAACACCTGGGCACGTGAGTGGGTTCCTGGCAATGAACACGGAAAGGGTTAAACCTGAAAATCCTGAACTAAAAGCATGATTAGTGCATGCAGCGTTTATTTAACGGTCTAACGTTCTTTCATCTTGTATTTTTGTAATTTATCTACAATGACTTTACTTTACAAAATTAAGGAATTATTGAAATTTGAATATTGAAAAAAAATATTGATAATGAATAAGGAATTTATTCGTGAAGGCAAAGACAAGACGTAATGAAACAATTGACTCTAATGATTCCAGTAACCTCAGATGATTTCTTCATCAAAGCACATTTTCGAATACAAAAATAGAGTTCAAGTTTATTGCTTTGATTCCAAAATCTATCTGTCGCGAAATGTTTTCTTGCACATAATATCTAATACATTTTCGAACGAAAAAAAAGTTAATTAAGTTATTAAATTATTCAACATTAGCAAAATGCAAAAAATGGAATTGGCATTTATTTATTAAAGCAACAATGATAAGATATATAATCATTGTTGCTGTGTTATAATTATAAGTTTCATAGTAACGAAGTCGAAGGGCATTCGACTTCTATACTACAAAATATTCCAACATATCGGTATTCAAATATTTATTTCAATATTTATTCTATAGTAAACTAATTAACAATTCTGTGTTACTTATTTCAATATACTATGTGCCAACTATCCATATTTTTATTATCATTATTCAGAAACGCGATGTGCAAGAAAACCTATCCTAAATTAATAAATAAAACACAGAAGACATTTTGTTACTACTCACGGGTATAATAAATACCCGTGGTCACTATGTTCACAAGAAATTCTACGTAATACAACCAATCATCCGTGTCGATTCGGACCTTTCGTCCTACGACATGATTGAATGACCAGAGGAACCAAAATGCATGCGACTCACCAATGATGCGGAGAACGATGCTTCAATGGTCCAGAGGAAGTCATCGTGAAGACCGTCGTTGGTGGGGGTTGACTTGAATAGTAACACAGTTGTCGGATCCATAGGAAAATATGGGCTGTAGAAAATCTGCAACAAAATGTTCAATACTACTGTTATATCATCAGGACACAAATATTTGAAGAGTCTAATTTTATACGATTCGTACGATTGATTAAGATTTATTCAATTACAATATGCAAACGTACTTACAGTATTGACTTCTGGAGCAAAGATGAATCCTGTCCAGCGAAGAGCTGACTTCAATGCCATCAGACTTGTCGGATCTACGGAAAAACACGTAGCATGATGAATAATAAAATTTATTCTTTAAGAAAAGGTATTAATTAAATTACAGCATGCAAACATACTTACATACTTACATTCTTGGATTGCAGAGCAGCCTTGGGTCCACTCCTGGGTATAGTCGACTCTAATACCGGTAACGAACATTAAAAAAAAAAAAAAGAAAAATAAAAGATCATTAACGCGTCCGTTTAAACTTCAATCGGCGAACAAACACTGACTCTACATTTGTGTATGGCTATTATGGTTATATGTAGCAAGAGCTATTGGGCTCTGAGAAAAAAATTTGATACGTAAAAAAGCACTGACTCGAATGGTGGCATCGCGCACGGCCACGAAAATTCCTGAAAAAAATGCATTAGTGGGGACTGAGGAATGTCGTGAGAGTTATTCTCCCTGTTGAACAAATGTTAAAGAAATACTGCTGTACTTATGAAGTTATAACCATCCGTTATTCCTACTGTTGATCATTTAAGTCAGAAATAAAACACCTATTTGATCTGCACACGAATGAATGTAATACATTGTAACTATTATAAAGAATGTAGAAACGATATGAATGGAATACAGTAGAACTTGAAATATAACTGCGCCGTCTACCTGCGCAGTCGAAACGCGCATACCGACCGCGCATACGGACTGCGCAGACGGACTGCGCATAGTGACCGCGCATACTAACTGCGCATACGGATTGCACGATGAAATGACGCAATAATTTCCGAACTTGCGTTTGAAAATTCAACGCAACTGTAATTACGACTCTTTCGTAAAAATAATAAAAATTATTGTTTAAGACAAAATTATGACGATGTTGTAAAATATTTGAAACCGAAATAATGTAATATGTGAATTATTTCGCTTTCTAAGTCAAATATAACAAGATTTAATGAATATTTTTCAAAATCTCAAATATTGTCATAATTATATATTATAAAATGATACATGAAACAAATTACCAATAAAGTACTTACGTACACTTCATAAGTCTGGCTTTGATACAAGAAATTCAACATTACCATATTTTCACGAAGGCTTGGCAAATTTGAAGGCGAGCGAACATGGCGTCTGTACTTCGTTCTCAAGCGCGTTCGTTAACGTTTGATGCCTTCTACACCATTCTTACGATCAACCAACATACTGCACACATGAAAATCATAATATTGTACAAATATGTGAAAATATCATTAATTAGATTGAAATGTGAGAATAATCGTGTTGAAATTTCGATTCAAAGACACGATAATATACGTACCAGAAATTGGATCGCACGTCTAGTTGCCGCGACGTTCAAAAGGAGAATGACCCCACCCTATCATGGCGTTGCCTAGCCGTCAGCGGATTGGTCGAGAGACCTAGCTCTTCCCGCCATTTCAAAAGCCCGCGATAGCAGAAAGATTTGAACTTCCTAGAGGCCGTCATGTCTGACGAATCACGTGACTGTGGCGTATATGTCGTAGAAACCATGTTAACATACTGAAAAATTCGTATTCCGCTATTTAATGGTCGCAAATAATTTGTTCAATAAGTACATAATATAATTGGAAGAATTCAATATTATACATAATTATATTAATATTGTACAGTAATATTATACAGTATAAAAATTATACATTATTTATATATTATTAATTATATATATTAATTATATACATTAATAATTGTACATTACAATTTCTTTCGTACTACTACTTTTATGAACGTTCTTTATTCAGATATAACATTGATCCACTGTAATTAAGTATTAATATTGAAAATGATTCCGAATATTTGAAAATCCCAGCAACGAAACAGATTTATTGATACAATTTATATGATCGTTTTGAACGACGTAGTGTTCACAAACCAAATAATGCAAATTGTGAAAGTTATTCGAATCTTTTATTTAAATGGTGAAACATTCAATGAATCAACTTCAAGTTATATGTAAATTATTAACACACCTTCGAAATGACTTATTTCGACCATTTCAAACTACGAAATGATTTGATACAAAATTCTCGAAATACGAAGATTTAATTTAACAATTTAACTTCTTTCCAGTTTTATCGAAAAGATCCTAAGAAATTATGTAATATTTGCAAATTTTGTATCAAATATCAATAATGACACATCAAAAATATAATGCAAATCTATTTATTGTATGATAATACATTAGGCATTACCAGCTTTCAATGAAAAGCTGTAAAGTCAGCCATTTGTCAATATGCCGCTCCTTCTTTGAAACTCTTGCGCTATCAGGCCATTCCAGTCATCAGAGATTAATCTGTACAGAAGAAAACGAAAATTAATTCAAATGATCAAAGGTAAATTCAAATATATTAATAAAAAGTAATAGGCGATTGTCAATTCTGTTACAACTCTAGTACCGATTACAACGATATAACTCTAGTACCGAAATGCAGTAATATGTTACAAGTACGATTAAATCAAGAAATCAACAAGAAATCTTACAACATTCTATGATATTTTACAATAATGTCAAACATGTAATTAAAAAATGTTCAACGATTAGACTAAAGATTAACAATGTTCGAATAAAATGAAAGTACAAATGCACATTGAGTCTATCTTCGTAACATAATTAATGTTCGCCACTACCAACTTCCGACATAGATTTCACGACTTTGGTTACAAACCATCACGGTGTCTGCTGCTCGTCCTCCAATACGACCGTTGGTGCGTTCAATGCGTTCTACGTGATCCTTGGAATCAATTAATAATCTGCAAAAGCAGAAATCATAAATTTAGCATGAATGTGTAAAACTATCAGAATTCATATTAAAATGGGAGAATAGTCGTATTCGAATTTCAATTTAAAAGCTAAAGCAACCGAATGGAAAAATGGAATTTCAAAAAACTAGTAAAATTATTTGATTTTACCAAAGTTACGTTCTAAAAGTTATTACATAAACAGATGTTAAAAAGATGCAGTTAGCAATCGTATATAAATGGTGAAAGAACAGAAATGAAAGTTATCCACAATAATAAATGAAAAGAATACCTGAATTCGATCTCACGTCCAGTTGCCACGACGTTCAAAAGGAAAATGACCCCACCCTATCATGGCGTCGCCTAGCCGTCAGCGGATTGGTCGAGAGACCTAGCTCTTCCCACCATTTCCAAAGCCCGCGATAGCACGGAGATATGAACTTCGTAAAGGTCCTTATGGTTGACGAATCACATGTCTGTGAATAGTATACAGAGTAAATCAGAATAATACGGCGAAATTGATATTCGATAATTTAATTCAGGCAAACAAAATTGTCTTGTGGCTGAACGAAAGTAATAATGTTGTACAAATAGTATCAAAATAGCCCTGAAAGTATTACGCAGCACGTATGCAATACACATAACGATATGTCCGCTTACCATGATTTCCAGTGGCACAATGCTACCCAGCACTGTGAGTTAGCAAACCTGTTCCGAACAATGAATTACTGGAGGGTGCAGGGGGGCAGAGAGGCTGGGAATGCATCTCGGCCAAGGACAAATTTCAAGCAGATTGATATTTTTATACGCAGTTTACAGTTTCGTTCGCTGAACTATAGAAGTCAGGCGATCATGAGAAACTTCCAATGGCTAGCATTTTGCTGGATTCAATATTATGTAGCAAGGCCGGAATCGTTTGATGAGCTTATTTCATAGCAAAGTCCAATATTCTGGAAAATATTGTCACAATCAAAGGTGATATATTACAAATGTAAAAATGAACTGCAAGAAAAATTACTTACATATAATTCTTGGATTCGAGGAAATGAGGTTGATCTTGTAACTGAAAAATAAATAAAAAAAATAGCCAATAACGACATCTTACATTCAGAAAATACTGTTCTTGGTGTGAATTTATTAATATGTGTTATATGTATTTATATTCCGTTGCAAAATGTTAATACGGAAGTCGTATTAATCATAACAAACAATGAAATAAATTTCTGTTTAGATGCACGTTTGCAACACGTTCAATTTTTGAATGTTGTGGAAATAAACATCAAACAGAGTATAAACCATAGCGTTATTTTGAAAACGAACGGTAAAAATTGGGAACAAAAATATCGAAATAGTCAGAGAAGAGTCTATTCTGGGCAAACAAATCGAAAAAACCTAATCCATAACCAAAACCTGGAATATATAAATGATAATAAGAAACTATGTGAGTACACATTTATAAGCATTTGTATCTTTTCAATATTTTTTGAAAAAAAACAATCAAAATACAAAAGAAACTATCAAACTAATTACAAAAGACACCATTCTAAAGAAGTAAATCGAAAAATCCTAATCAAAGGTGGAAGTTCCGAAAAGCTAAGCCCCGAAAGATAACGTCGCAGTACGACCTGCCAGACGCTCCCACTTACGGCACCGTATTTCGAAAACAGATTATCAAAATCCAAAAGAAGTTACATATCCCGACACAGAAATTTTCACTCTATTAAAGTGGATTGAAGAAACCTAATCGATAAGCCTAATTTCGCTTAAATAAGCCACAGTAGGAAACTACGCAGCAGCACCCGACGGCCACCTGTCACATTCGGCACTATTTTTCCGAAACGAATAATCAAAATCCAAAAAAAGATGCATATCCCGACACAGAAACTTTCACTCTATTAAAGTGGATGGAAGAAAATTAACCGATAAGCCTAATTTCTTTTAAATAAACCACAAGAGGAAACTATGCACGGCACCCGACGGCCACCTGTCACATTCGGCTCTATTTTTCCGAAATGGATTATCAAAATTCAAAGAAAGATGCATATCCCTACACAGAAACTTTCACTCTATTAAGGTGGATTGAAGAAACCTAATCGATAAGCCTAATTTCGCTTAAATAAGCCACAGTAGGAAACTACGCAGTAGCACCCGACGGCCACCTGTCACATTCGGCACTATTTTTCCGAAATGGATTATGAAAAGTCAAAGAAAGATGCATATCCCGACACAGAAACTTTCACTCTATTAAAGTGGATGGAAGAAAATTAACCGATAAGCCTAATTTCTTTTAAATAAACCACAAGAGGAAACTATGCACGGCACCCGACGGCCACCTGTCACATTCGGCTCTATTTTTCCGAAATGGATTATCAAAATTCAAAGAAAGATGCATATCCCTACACAGAAACTTTCACTCTATTAAGGTCGATTGAAGAAACCTAATCGATAAGCCTAATTTCGCTTAAATAAGCCACAGTAAGAAACTACGCAGTAGCACCCGACGGCCACCTGTCACATTCGGCACTATTTTTCCGAAACGAATTATCAAAATCCAAAAAAAGATGCATATCCCGACACAGAAACTTTCACTCTATTAGAATGGATTGAAGAAACCTAATCGATAAGCCTAATTTCGCTTAAATAAGCCACAGTAAGAAACTACGCAGTAGCACCCGACGGCCACCTGTCACATTCGGCACTATTTTTCCGAAACGAATTATCAAAATCCAAAAAAAGATGCATATCCCGACACAGAAACTTTCACTCTATTAAAGTGGATGTAAGAAAATTAACCGATAAGCCTAATTTCTTTTAAATAAACCACAATAGGAAACTACGCAGTAGCACTCGACGGCCACCTGTCACATTCGGCACTATTTTTCCGAAACGAATTATCAAAATCCAAAAAAAGGTGAATATCCCGACGCAGAAACTTTCACTCTATTAGAATGGATTGAAGAAACCTAATCGATAAGCCTAATTTCGCTTAAATAAGCCACAATAGGAAACTACGCAGTAGCACCCGACGGCCACCTGTCACATTCGGCACTATTTTTCCGAAACGAATTATCAAAATCCAAAAAAAGATGCATATCCCGACACAGAAACTTTCACTCTATTAAAGTGGATGGAAGAAAATTAACCGATAAGCCTAATTTCTTTTAAATAAGCCACAAGAGGAAACTATGCACGGCACCCGACGGCCACCTGTCACATTCGGCTCTATTTTTCCGAAATGGATTATCAAAATTCAAAGAAAGATGCATATCCCTACACAGAAACTTTCACTCTATTAAGGTCGATTGAAGAAACCTAATCGATAAGCCTAATTTCGCTTAAATAAGCCACAGTAGGAAACTACGCAGTAGCACCCGACGGCCACCTGTCACATTCGGCACTATTTTTCCGAAACGAATTATCAAAATCCAAAAAAAGATGCATATCCCGACACAGAAACTTTCACTCTATTAAAGTGGATGTAAGAAAATTAACCGATAAGCATAATTTCTTTTAAATAAACCACAATCGGAAACTACGCAGTAGCACTCGACGGCCACCTGTCACATTCGGCACTATTTTTCCGAAACGAATTATCAAAATCCAAAAAAAGGTGAATATCCCGACGCAGAAACTTTCACTCTACTAGAATGGGTTGAAGAAACCTAATCGATAAGCCTAATTTCGCTTAAATAAGCCACAAGAGGAAACTATGCACGGCACCCGACGGCCACCTGTCACATTCGGCTCTATTTTTCCGAAATGGATTATCAAAATTCAAAGAAAGATGCATATCCCTACACAGAAACTTTCACTCTATTAAGGTCGATTGAAGAAACCTAATCGATAAGCCTAATTTCGCTTAAATAAGCCACAGTAGGAAACTACGCAGTAGCACCCGACGGCCACCTGTCACATTCGGCACTATTTTTCCGAAACGAATTATCAAAATCCAAAAAAAGATGCATATCCCGACACAGAAACTTTCACTCTATTAAAGTGGATGTAAGAAAATTAACCGATAAGCCTAATTTCTTTTAAATAAACCACAATAGGAAACTACGCAGTAGCACTCGACGGCCACCTGTCACATTCGGCACTATTTTTCCGAAACGAATTATCAAAATCCAAAAAAAGGTGAATATCCCGACGCAGAAACTTTCACTCTACTAGAATGGGTTGAAGAAACCTAATCGATAAGCCTAATTTCGCTTAAATAAGCCACAAGAGGAAACTATGCACGGCACCCGACGGCCACCTGTCACATTCGGCTCTATTTTTCCGAAATGGATTATCAAAATTCAAAGAAAGATGCATATCCCTACACAGAAACTTTCACTCTATTAAGGTCGATTGAAGAAACCTAATCGATAAGCCTAATTTCGCTTAAATAAGCCACAGTAAGAAACTACGCAGTAGCACCCGACGGCCACCTGTCACATTCGGCACTATTTTTCCGAAACGAATTATCAAAATCCAAAAAAAGATGCATATCCCGACACAGAAACTTTCACTCTATTAAAGTGGATGTAAGAAAATTAACCGATAAGCCTAATTTCTTTTAAATAAACCACAATAGGAAACTACGCAGTAGCACTCGACGGCCACCTGTCACATTCGGCACTATTTTTCCGAAACGAATTATCAAAATCCAAAAAAAGGTGAATATCCCGACGCAGAAACTTTCACTCTATTAGAATGGATTGAAGAAACCTAATCGATAAGCCTAATTTCGCTTAAATAAGCCACAATAGGAAACTACGCAGTAGCACCCGACGGCCACCTGTCACATTCGGCACTATTTTTCCGAAATGGATTATCAAAAGTCAAAAAAAGATGCATATCCCGGCACAGAAACTTTCACTCTATTAAAGTGGATGGAAGAAAATTAACCGATAAGCCTAATTTCTTTTAAATAAACCACAAGAGGAAACTATGCACGGCACCCGACGGCCACCTGTCACATTCGGCTCTATTTTTCCGAAATGGATTATCAAAATTCAAAGAAAGATGCATATCCCTACACAGAAACTTTCACTCTATTAAGGTCGATTGAAGAAACCTAATCGATAAGCCTAATTTCGCTTAAATAAGCCACAGTAGGAAACTACGCAGTAGCACCCGACGGCCACCTGTCACATTCGGCACTATTTTTCCGAAATGGATTATGAAAAGTCAAAGAAAGATGCATATCCCGACACAGAAACTTTCACTCTATTAAAGTGGATGGAAGAAAATTAACCGATATGCCTAATTTCTTTTAAATAAAACACAAGAGGAAACTATGCACGGCACCCGACGGCCACCTGTCACATTCGTCTCTATTTTTCCGAAGTGGATTATCAAAATTCAAAGAAAGATGCATATCCCTACACAGAAACTTTCACTCTATTAAGGTCGATTGAAGAAACCTAATCGATAAGCCTAATTTCGCTTAAATAAGCCACAGTAAGAAACTACGCAGTAGCACCCGACGGCCACCTGTCACATTCGGCACTATTTTTCCGAAACGAATTATCAAAATCCAAAAAAAGATGCATATCCCGACACAGAAACTTTCACTCTATTAAAGTGGATGTAAGAAAATTAACCGATAAGCATAATTTCTTTTAAATAAACCACAATCGGAAACTACGCAGTAGCACTCGACGGCCACCTGTCACATTCGGCACTATTTTTCCGAAACGAATTATCAAAATCCAAAAAAAGGTGAATATCCCGACGCAGAAACTTTCACTCTACTAGAATGGGTTGAAGAAACCTAATCGATAAGCCTAATTTCGCTTAAATAAGCCACAAGAGGAAACTATGCACGGCACCCGACGGCCACCTGTCACATTCGGCTCTATTTTTCCG